TCAAACCAAAGGAAAATAAAATTGAGGAAAAATGGGAAAGAATACGAAATTTCAACAATTAAGGAGCTTATTATGCATTCCACAAACTTCAATCAAAGAATTTTCTGCTCATCAGATTTTGCATACAATGGTGGATTCTTTTCATGCTTGAGAAAGTAATCAATGTTATTTAATGATTTAATGTAGAACTCTAAGTAGATAGCTTTGGTGAGAAATTGAAAACGATGAGTATTTATCTTTATCAATTTCTGTTGCATTTCCCTGAGACGTGAATCAAGTGATAAAGATCAAAAGCATGCCTGACATGTTTCCAGCACTATCCTGGTTTCTTTCAATTCTATGACTTATTTCTTTATATATCCTACGATGTTGTGATCTCACTGTATTCTCCTTGATCAACAATCCTAGAATACTCCCCAGTTTACTTACTTGAGGCTGGGAAACTTTGGGTATTAGTTTTATTTTCTTTCATCTCTCTTTTGGAGAGGGAGTGCAGTGCAAAAAACTAGTACATTAAAAGTTCAAAATAAAGCCAAAGTAAGGATTTCAATCTATAGAGCAGTCATTCAAAATATTTAACAAGCATGTAGGATTTACTTTATGAAGAAGCATACCTCAGCTTGGTTATAGAGACTTTTTGCCTTGTCTACTTCCTTCTGAAGCTCAGCTAAAACTTTCTTCTGTGTCTCAAGCTCCTCTTGAATCAAGCTCTTCTGCCCCTCCCATGATTGAGTATCCTTCAGTGCCTTCTGCTCCCTCTCCATTGCTTCCTGACAGCGTGCAGCTGACTCTGCAGCCTGTAACTCAGCAGCTTCCATATCCCTCTTCAGTAGAGAATTTTCCACCTCAAGCCTGCAAATAGTAGAGTTAGCTCGCTCAACCTGGTTACTGGCATTGTTCAAGGCCAACTCCATCTCAGACAGCCTCTTCACAGTGTTCTCCTCCATCATTTGCTTCTCCTTTTTGAACTGGTGTCCTTCTTCCTTCTCTTGCCTCAGTGACTTGAGTTCAGGCTGCTCAACACTGAGCCTACGAGCAGCTTGCATGACCTTCTGGTTGGCCCATTCAGTCCAAGTATGTAGCTCCTTCTGCAGGTCTTGTAGTTGCGGAACAAGCTTCAAAATCAGCCTGTCCTTATCATCTTGTGGAACATACTTTCCCACAGACTCATCATATGGAATTCCAACATAGTAATCAATCTCCTTAGAGGGCTTAGAAATGTTGTCTTCAGATTTGGGGGCAGGATTCTTTTCAGCATCATTATCAGCTTTCTTAGGAGTCTTCTCAGCATCATGATCAGGTTTCCTAGGAGTCACTGACGTGATGCCTTTATATTTTTGAGCAGGTTTCTTTTCCAAAGATGATGATACTGCAAGCTTGGTATCTGCTTTAGATGAAGCAGATACAGTAAGCTTAGCATGGCATGTTGATGAGTTATCAGTGACACATAAACTAGCTGACATATTAGTTGAAACATGATGGTTTCCATCAGCTGAAGCTCCAGCTTCTGTATTTCTCTTCATTGAAGCATTTTTCACATGCATGGCTGGAATTTCAGATGGATTTTTCATTTTCTTTTCCAAAAAAAAACCACCAAAGGCAGCTAGTTTCCCAGACCTAAAACCTCCTTTCCCATAAGCCCGGTACTTCTCCACATTAAGTGCCTTTGCCCGTAGCGCTGCTATTTCTTTCTTTTTGCGACCTTTTCGACCAGCCACTGATTTTTCTTCAAGGACAGTTACTTGAGATGTAATCTGGACATGTCCCTTGGTAGCACTGGAAGAACCTGAACTCTCCTTATCTGGTGTCAGCCCTTCACGGGCAAGAGGATTTTGGGGGTGAGGTAAACTGGGGAAACTTCCAAATCTGAGTGTTTCAGGCTGAAAACTTTGGGAATTAGGAAGTGAATGCCTGGAAATATTTGGCTCATTGGGGTTGGGAGGGATGGTTTCAGATTTCTGAGCCTCCGATCTCCACTGAGAATTAGAGTCAATGGATCCCTCTCCAAAGACTTCTTTACAACCAAAATTGTGCGAAATGTCTCCTTCCACTTCACAGGCCATTAAGATGTTCAAATCACACATTAACAATAGCCACATTGCTTCTGCAATAGATAGAGAAGGCTTAACCTCTCTAAGTACACTAATCATCTCCAGCATTGTGTACTCCACTAGGTTCTGCAAATTCTCAAATAAATGATCCCCTGAAGTATCACAATCGTTTCTTTTCTTGAGAAAATCCAGAGTATAATTCACAATATTTGACTCAAGGTCTCTACCCTCAAGGTAAAGGCCATGCCTTGAAATGAATTGTTCAGCAACTTCTTCCTCATACCCACAATCAACAATCTTCTTAATTGCATTCTTGAAAACTGTATGCAAATTAGAACATAGCAATTCCTCTAGTTGGCATACAATTGGATCATCCCAATCAGCAATTTCAAACTCTTCTCCCAACTGCCCCCTACTTGATTCAACTTGAAATGGCCCAATGTCACCAGAAGGGTTTTGAGATTTCTCCGCAGGAAATTCATATTCAGGCAAATCAGTCAGGGATGAAGGAAGATCAACTGGATTTTCTGCAGAAGGATCAACTAATTTTCTCTTATTTTTACCTCCTTTTTCCTTACCAGCATCAATACCAGTTGGTTCATCCATCTTATCAGTAACAAAATGAAATCTCTCAGATTCCTCACCAGTTGATTCTCTATCAATATACCCTTTATGAACAAACAAGAAAAAAGAACAAAATAATAAAAAGAAAATCAAAATAAGTTGGAATTCACAAAATATAAAACCAAAGCTCCCTTGTTGCAATTGGCAAAGACTGAAAGATTTCTAAGAAAATGCACTGAAAATCAATATAGGTAAAATGAGCAACGAGCAACCAACAAGATAATCAATAAACAAGAGCTAAGATACAAATTCATCCACTATATCTAACAGAAAGCAAATCAGCAAAAACACCACTACCCTGAAAGAAACAGAACCCAAATGGATAAAAAGCTAACCAAGATATCAAAACCCTGTATCAAACATACCCATTTAGCTACAATGTATCACAGCAAGAACAGCTGCAAGAAAGAACCCAAATGGATAAGAAACCAAACTAAGATATTAAAAACCAGAATCAAACACACCCATTTAGCTACACAAGCGACTCCATGTATCACAGCAAGAACCCCAAACCTGTTCTTTAGAAAAAGAACCCAAATGCATATATAAAACAAACAAACAAACCAAGATATCAAAACTACTCATATCGGCAAACAGCACACAGACTCATAAACCCTCCAGGTTATCCTAAAAAACAACCATTTTACACCCCCCCCAAAACCAGGAATTTCATCAGTGAGAGCAAAAAGAAACGGATAAAGACGCAAAAAACAGGCTCTCCATACCTAAAAGCAGTCGATACAAACAACGAGAGAAGCTTTGCATTCAATGTAGAGAGAAAATGAGGAGCATTTTGGAGCGTTACGGTGAATGGGAAATGGCTATGGCGAAATTGCCTCCGTCGTCACGGTGCAGTATAGAACCAGCTGCTGCCACTTCTGCTGCTGCTGCTGCTTCACCGTTCTGAGTGTGCGTGGCGTCTGACTGCTGGGACTGGGGTTTATATAGGGAACACACTGTTCAATTCAATAGCCTTCTTGACCCAATATTTGCGTTTTTTTTCTTTTAATCATTTATGGTTACATTTGTTTTTGGAAATTAGCCATTTATGGTTATTGCTTTTATGGTTAGGAGACCCATATTTGGATTCATTGTCAACATTCCAGATTACAATTTATTCATACATTAATTTCAGAAATGTAATGATCATCTATAACATATTCTTCATTTCTATTGTGTTACAATGATAGAATTTCCGCCATTGATGGAGTTTAACTTTTCAAATCTCAAATTAGATTGGATGGTATCAAAACATTAGAGTTGAGATATCAGTTGTCAAATGGTAAAGTCTATTGAATCTTTTAAACAACTAGTACAACTTTTAGGAGACAAAGAAATCAAATCCAATTCCTTAAGTCACGAAAAATTAACGTCAACTAATTTGTTTAAAAGATCACGTGTGAAATAATCTTTTGATAGTTGTGTAAATAATTTGAGATTAAATTTTATCTTCACTAAAGTATGGAGGGATTAGAAAGAGAAAATATCCTCTCTATTTATTAACTCAACATCAAATGAACTATAGCAAATGGAAAGAAACAAAAAAGTACCATTATACCAAAGATTACGCTCAAGGGACTAAAATGCAATTAAAGTATAAAGAGTTAGGGATTACCAACAATAATGTGAAGGGACTGAAGAGTAATATAATTTCTTTGGGTAAATTACTGAATGATTCTAAGTTTGTGTGAAAATTCGTCATGGGGGTCTCAAAAGGCAAAAATTTTGGCTTAATTAGGAAATAAGTAATTTGGTAGTCAAATAAAAGTTACTCCAATTAAGAAAGGAGAAAATGTTCATATTTTATATGAATTTTATTATTTTTTTAATTAAAGGATATGAACTTTTTGATTTTTTAAGTCAGTGGTGAACTTTTATTTTTTTATTTAAAAAATAAATAAATTTTGTCATATTTTGATTAATATTACTATTTGTCATTTCATCATTACTTTTTAATAAACCTTTAAATAAAAAAATATAAACTTTATACCTTTATTTTTAAAAGATAAAAGTCTATCACATAATTTAAAATTTTTTAAAATTTATATTTTTAAATAAAAATAATAATAAAATTCATATCTTTATACTATCTTTTCATTAAGAAAGGCTAGCGACCCAAGCGCCTGTGTGCTTTCCACTTTTTCTTTTTGAATATTACGAATGTCTTCTCATAATATATATATGATTTTTTTTTTTGACAAGATAGATGGTTAGAAAGTTAGTAGAGTTAGTTTGTTAGCAGCTGAAATTTTTAAAAAAAAGTGAACGTTCCACATCCTCATTTGAAAAGCGCGGCGGTGGCAGAACTCGAAACTCTGACCTCCGCCTCACCCAAGCTTTAGGGCTTGGGTGCCAACCAATTGGGCCACAGGCCCGGTTGGCATATATATATATATATATTATGATTTATGAATGACTTTAAGAGGTTTTGAATTATTATTAATTTAATAATGTAATGTAGAGCTCAATAATTGGGAAAAATATCTA